TTTACTTTCATTTTATGTGGTGTCATTTCAGTTTCTTGATGATGTTTTCCTTTTATCCCTCTTTTACATTCCTCCTCCTTCTATTATTATTATTATTATTATTATTAACAATAGGAAATTAAAAAATGCTCATTAGAACTGCTAAAGCAATCACATCGCCATTCATTTTTTCTTTGTAATTTCTAAATGTTTTGATGTATGTGACATAGGTAGATTCCTCCAGAAACTGACTGCTGGAGAAATACAAATTCTTAAAAGTGACAGCAGAAACAATATCAGATGCTATTCAGAAAGCAGGGTCTCAGAGGACACTGAATGTGTTATTGAAAATAACCAGTGAAGTAAACCATGCATAGAGAGACAGACCAAAAAATCACAGAAAATCTGGAAATCTCAAACGGAGAGGGTCAAACAGGAACAGTACCAAATGGCTCTTCAAATGGTTGTTGTTGTTGTTGTTTTTGCAATGTTTTACTTTTTATTGTTCCATAAGTTAACAGAAATGCAGAAATGAGAACACATAACTAAAGTGGAATGCTGTCCCTTTCAATTACCAAAGAAGTTGGATGCATGGGAGATATTTAATGCATTTGGTGTTAACCAGACACTTTATACTGGAGAGAGTCCAAACCAAGTCACCAAACTGCTTTTCTCCTGCAGGAGCAAGATCAACTCCTACCATGCACCATTTAACCAAGTATCTAAATATATCTAATCAAAGCAAACCAGATTTCTTACCTCCTTTAAAGACAAAATAATGATGATGGTGATAATAATAATAACAATAACAGTAGTATGAAAAGGATGTATAGTTAATCTTGTATATGAAATTGGAATTGTTAGAATATTAAAAATATTGCAATTCAATGGGAATATCCTTGAAATGAAAATGATAATACAACTCCCATCCTTCTGCTTGCCAACACCAACTACTTTTATGAGCAGAAAACAAACGTTTCAAGCTTTGCCAATAGAAAACAAAATCAGAGAAATGGTTGTTCCCCAAACACATTTTCTAGTAGTGAACAATTTTAATTAAAAAAATATTAAGGTAGTATGTTTATCTGTTAGTTGTTAAGACTATAATTTTAAAAAAATAGTACAATAGAAATGACTGAAAAACTTACATAAAGAAAATAATAGCTAATAGTATTGAAAATTTACTGTATTATAATTTACAATGCTCTAATTTAATTGAGGTTAAACAAAGTTAAGAGGTGACTCCAAAATCAAACTTCTAACCTATGGTTGATAAAGTCCTCTTTGGGTAAGGTGCCCATATTCCTTGCAGTAGGTGGATGTGGGAGCCAACATTTTAAAATGTCCACATTCATTGACCAGGTTTTCTGTATGGGTTCAAGTTCTTTCTCTGTAGTTTACTAGCAGCAAAACTATGAGCAAGTTATTGAACTTCATCTTTAAGAAAATGGGAAATTTTATGAGGATTAAATGAGTTAATGAGCTTAAAGCAATTTTCTCATTTGCAAAAAGAGGTAATTGGCTTAGATCAGTGGTTTTAATAATTTTTACATTTTCAAAGTTTTTCCAGGCTGCTTCTACTGGAAGAAAAGGAATGAATCCACATTGGAAGTGGCTACAGGGTATGGTGTGACTGGCCAGCAGTGTCAGTGTCACCTTTACCACCCTCTCCCATTCAACCAGAGTGGCACCTCTTTTGCCTGCTGTACTGTATTTGGTTTGGAAAAACATTAACCATTTAAATGTCACTTTCTTTTTGCCAAACAGTGTTCTAACTGCTTTTTATGCATTGACGGATTTAATGTTCACATGATCCCCATTTTTCAGATGAGAGAATCAAGACATAAAGAAATTTAATAATTTTTCCCATGTCCTTGCAGCTTGTAAATTAAAGATGCAGAATTGGGAACGAGGCAATCTGGCTCAACTATCCATGTTCTTAACCACTAAGCTATTCTACCTCAAAAACAAAAGTTTCTGTTGCTTAAAAAACAAAAGGTAAACTTTTTCCAGTCAAGATGGAAGAGTAGGTAAATGCTGTGATTGCCTCCTCACAGGACCACATCAATTACAACTAAAACATAGAACAACCATTACTGAGAACTGCCTGAATTTGAGCTGAACAAAAGCCCTACAGCTAAGGACATACAGAAAAAGCAACCTCGAGAGAGATGTCCCCAAAACTTCTGGATGTGAAAAACAGCAGAGATTGTGGCTAAGTGAAACAAAGGGCAGCTGCAGTCCCAGGTGCTCCTCTTAAAGTGCACAAATTTGTCACAAACAGACTCACTTGCTCTGAGGCCCAGCGATGGGGCAGCAGATGGCAAGGCACCAGGGACATATGGGGAGGAACTGAATTATCTAGCTTCAGGGTGAGGGTTGGAGGGGCAACATTCCCACAGATGGAGAAGCTGACAGAAGCCATTGTTTCTTTATTGAGCCCTTTCCCTCCCTGCATGCAGACCCAGGCAAACATCATATCTGAGTCTCCATCAAACTGGCTACCACCTTTCATCTGTCCCACCCTAGTTATTCCCTGAGACTCTGCCCCACCTAACTTTTGGGCACACCCAAGCAGCTTCCAATGATTTTTCCCTATAAATGGCTTGCCTTGGCTCATGCTTCAAACTTATATAAAATCTCTCAAAGTTTCAAAAAACTCAAACAAGCAACATCTAATGTTGGTGTATCCCATACATTTGGCTGAATGACCCTAACCCAGGCACTAGCAACAGCCAGCCTTGGTTTGTGGCTTTGCTTCTCATGAATACTGCAAGCTCAGCACAGGTAGTGGTCATGTCTGGATTGCTTTGTGGCTCATGCCAGGTGGCCTCGGGCTGTGCAAGGCTGCAGCTAAACTTGGCCTGCAGCGAGTCCCCTCCCAGGAGACCCCAGGCTAGCAGGCCTACTGACCAGCTTTGGAATAGGCTGGAGAAACACCTAGCCGCCTCCAAAGATGGCACAACCAAAGGGCAGAATAAGCAGGCAACAGGGCCCTGCTAAAACAAACCCCGCATTGTAGAAACAGCCCTTGTACCATAGATCCACCACTGTAATCACAGATAGTCCTCACAACCCATCAGCCTCAGAGTCACTCCCTGCCATTGATGTGTAAACAGCAACCAAGGCTCAACTACAACAGGAGGGCACACACAAGGGAGCACCCAACTCTAGTGACCAGGGAGACTGAACCACTGGGTACCACAAGACGCCTACTACATAAGGCCACTCTACAAAGACTGAGAGGCATAGAAACCCTACCTAATACATAGAAACAAACACAGAGCGGTAGACAAAATGGGGAGACAAAGAAACATGTCCCAAGTGAAAGAATAGAACAAAGTTAGAGAAAAAGAACTAAACAAAATGCACACAAGCAATCTACCAGACACAGAGTTCCAAACATTGGTTTTAAGGATGCTCAATGATCTCAAAGAGAGCTTTAACAAAGAAATAGAAAACATAAAACTGGAGATACAAAACATAAAACAGAATCAATCAGAATTAAAGAATACAATATCTGAAATGAAGAATACATTAGAGGGAAACAACAGTAGATTAGATGAAGCAGAGGATCAAATCAGTGATTTAGAAGATAAGGTAGCAGAACACATTCAATCAGAACAGCAAAGAAAAAAACAGAATCTAAAATAATAAGGATAGTTTAAGGGGCCTCTGGGACAACATCAAGCATAGCAACATTTTCATCATAAAGGTACCAGAAAAAAAAAAAGAGCAAGGAATTGAAAATGTATTTGAAGAAATAATGACTGAAAACTTTTTTAACCAGGCAAAAGAAATAGACATTCCAGCCCAGGAAGTGCAGAGAGTCCCACACATGATGAATCCAAAGAGGCCCACACCAAGACATATCACAATAAAAATGCCAAAGGTTAAATACAAAGAGAGAGTCTTAAAAGCAGCAAGAGAATAGCAGTTAGTTACTCACAAGGCAGTCCCCATAAGACTGTCAGCTGATTTCAAAACAGAAACTTTGCAGGTCATAAGGGATTGGCAAGACATATTCAAAGTTATGAGAAGGAAACACCTATAACCTAAATTACTCTACCCAGGAAAGTTATCATTTAGAACATTTAAAATTGAAGGTCAAATTAAAGAGCTTCCCAGACAAGAAAAAGCTAAAGGAGTTTGTCACCACCAAAACAGTATTACATGGAATCTTAGAGGGACTTCTTTAAGACAAAAAATAAAAATAAAAAATATGAATAATAAAATGGCAATAACTGTATATCTATTGACAATTCCTTTAGATGTAAATGGATTAAATTATCCAATCAAAAGACATAGAGTAGCTGAATGAATAAGAAAATAAGAATTCTTATCTATGCTGCCTATGAGAGACTCACATCAGATCAAAAGACACACACACACTTTGAAAGTGAAGGGATGAGAAAAAGATATTTCATAAAAATGGAAACAAACAAACAAAAAGCTGTGGTAGCAATACTTTTACCAGACAAAATAGCTTTTTAAGCAAGGACTATAATAAGTGACAAAGAAGGACTCAGTAGTCCCACTTCTGGGCATTTATCTAATGGAACTCAAAATGCTACTTCAAGGGGAGTTGTGCATCTGTATGTTCATTGCAGCTGTGTGTACAATGGCCAAGATGTGTTGGCAGCCTGGGTGTCTGTCAATGGATGAATGAATAAAGAGAAGGTGGTACATATATACAATGGAATATTGTTTGGCCATGGAAGGAAATGGATTCTCACCATCTGTGGTGGTATGGATGGAAATAGCGGGTAATGTGCTGAGTGGAGTATGTCAGACAGAGAGGGATAGATACCATGTGATTTTGCTCAAATGTGGAATCTAAAGAACAAAATAAACAAACAAACAAAACAGCAACAGACTCATAGATACAGAGAACATTTTCATGGTTACTCGTTGGAAGGGGCGTTGAGAATGGGTGGAAAAGCGAAGGCATTAAGAAGTACAAATTGAGGGCTGCCCCAGCTGAGGAGGTGCACTGCGACCCCCTCTTCACTTCAGTGAACATGGCGCTGTGGGCACAGAGAATGCGGGTGGTGACCTGCAGCCTGTGCACCACCTCAGCGCCTGATGCACCCTGCCTGCTGCGGGCCTGGGTTCTTAAGGTGGGCACTGTCCAGACACTGTGCACAGGCTCCATTCTGCTCTTGGTGCATAAGTTCTCAGAGAAACATGAATGGGTAACAACAGAAAATTGTATTGGAAGAGTGGGAATCAGCAATTTTGCACAGGAAGCTTGGGAAGATATTTACTGTAGTTTGCCTGAAGTTGGGACACAATTGAACAAACAAGATGAGCTTGGTGCTTTACAAAGTGTGAAAGCTGCTAGTGAACTGTATTCCCCTCTATCAGGAGAAGTAACTGAAATTAATGAAGCCCTTGCAGAAAACTCAGGAGTTGTCGACAGATCTTGTTACGAAGATGGTTGATCAAGATGACACTGAGTAACCCCTCAGAACTAGAGGAACTGATGAGTGAAGAAGCCTGTGAGAAGTACATAAAATCTATTGAGGAGTGAGAATGGAATGGAATCCCCTGAATAAAGCAGTATGAAACAAACAAACAAACAAACAAAAGTACAAATTGGTAGATACAAAGTAGCCATGGGGATGTAAAGCATAGGAGATATAGTCAATAATATGGTAATATAATGCCAGGTGTGTACTAGACTAATCAGCAGGGTAACTTCTTAAACTATATAAATGTCTAACCACTATGCTGTACACCTAAAATTAATGTAAAATAATATTGAATATCAACTCTGATTCAAAAATTATAAAAGGGAGGAAAAAGTTGAAGCTATAAAACAAATAAGTCATGGGGATGGAATGTACAGAATGGGGAATATAGTCAATAATATTGTGATAGTGGTGTACAGTGTCAGATGGTCACTGGGTTTATCATGGTGATCACTTCTTTAAGTATATAAATGCTGAATAACTATGGTGTACATCTGAAATTAATATAATATTGCATGTTAGCTATATTTTCATAAAAATCTTGTTAAAAAGGTAAAATGTTCCATCCATCACAATACATTTGATCTAGACTTTGGGTAGTAAACATGCTATACAGACATCTTATTATAATGTCATACACCTGAAATGTTATATAATGTTATTAACCAATGTTACCTTAAAAATTAAATAAATAATGCATAAAACATAAATTTTTGAACCCCACTAGACTATATGCATTCTAACAACCTTTGTAGCTTTAAAAATGCCAGAGTTGGGTGGCCGGTTAGCTCAGTTGGTTAGAACGTGATGCTGATAACACCAAAGTTGCTGGTTTGATACCCACATGGGCCACCGTGAGCTGCACCCCCCCTTTAAAAAAAGCCAGAGTTGTAAAATGACATAATTAAACTAATATCAGAATTTAGTCACAGGGTAAGCCCAATGGTCAAGATGAAATGAACTTTCTATACCATCTCTGACTACAATCCTGTACAGTAAAAACATTTCTGAAGGATAAACGTTAGATACTCAAAATATTTAATTATTTTGAAGAAGTATCTACTTATCTGCTTGCACTTTTGCATTGGTTTTTACATTCCCAGGAGATATACAAGAAGCTTCTGGTTGAGATAGGTGTTTCAGAGGTTGGGGCCTCAGAATAAAGATGTCTTTGCTAGGAGTGTTTCATGTTTACTGTCCTGACATTATCCTAAATCCTGGGAGTATCTGTTACCAAAAAATAATCTGCGTCTAGCTCATTTCTAACTTTCCATAGTCCATTTCAAACTCTCTGCCATCAATGATTCCAGAAGTTTCAAAACGATGAATTCTTATTCACAATTTAAAATCTATTCAAGTGTCATATCTATGGGGAAGGTTTTCCTGACCTCTTCAAGATGTGTTAGGCATTCCTTCTTAATGTGTCCCTAGTGCAGTATGGTTATTTATATCACTTGCATTATTTTCAGAGTTTACCTATGTTTTACCTACTAGATTAAGTTCATTAAGGATAGGAATTATGTCTCCCTGACCCAATACATAGTACATAATAAGTTCTCAATAAAGTTTGCTGAACTGAACTCAGGTTGCTTTTGTACCATTTCTGTATATTTTCCCAGTGCATCGACCTTTTCCTCTTCTAGAATCCAGTGCAGGGTTTCTCAACCTCAGCAGTATTGACATTTGAGGCTGAATAATTCTTTTGGTGGTGGTGGTGGTGGGGTGCTGTCCTGTGCCTTGTAGGATGTCCCACAGCATCCCTACCCTCTACTAATCGTAAGATGTCCCACAGAATCCCTAGCTTCCCCCCAAGTTGTGACAATCAAATAAGTCTCCAGGTATATCCCAATGTCCCCTGGGGGAAAAACCACCCCCAGTTGAGAACTGCTTTCTAATGCAACAGATTATTGCCCTACTTTCTTTGCACTGGTCACTCCTGCCCTTATTTGACCTTTCAACTTAAATGTCACTTACTTAGGGAAGCCTTCCCTGAGCACTAGACTGGGTTTAAGGCCCCTGATAGGTTTTCTAATAGCATTTTGTAATTATCCTTCAGCATACTTATCAAAATTTTAATTTAATAGCTATTTTTGTCTCAAATTTAAATTCTATAAAGGCAGGGACTGGCTGTATTTCATTGCTAAATGCCTAGTGTTTTGCATAGTAACTGGCACATAGTAGGTGCTCAAGAAATATTTCTTAAATGAACAAATGCTAGTGAATTGTCCTGTCATTTCTGTTCCTATTTCTATCACAGTACTCACCAAGTTTCTATAGTAAGTTTCCATTTACACTGTGACTCTTCTTCAAGATAGAGGAAGCAGGCTAACATCTTATCAGCTTCCTCACTATGTACAATAGCCAACCCATGATAGACACTTATCTCTTAATATACAGACGTGAAATGTGCTGTCCATGCCTTTACTGAATTTACTAATGAAGTAAAATTACTTACTGGGCTTTTAATTTGTAATAAACTAAAAATAAATGTAGGTTTAATATTCAGTTGACCAAAAAATGTGACTAAGTTGACACTTTTGCTCCAAAGCAAATACTATCTCTCATTTGAAAGATACATTTAAGGCTGTATCAACATACCATGAAGTATAAATGGCATCAGAAGTGCAATCAGTTAAAAATATATTTGTATAAATGTCCAACTAATTTGTCTGATTTTTCCCCAATGACTGAATATTTCAACATTGCGTAGAGAAAGTGTGAAACCAGAAACATTAAGAACAGAGGGGGAAACAGCAGAGGTAATTTTCTGTCATAGGTCAGGTTGAAGTGTTCTCTTTTCTTTATTCAATGCTGGCTTTTCATGTCCTAAAGTGAGTCTAATTTTAAGGCTTCAGCTTGACAGGGATGATATCAGAGAAGAGAAAGGATACATGTGGAAGGGGGGAGGGTAACACTTTTCTGTGCATAGCCTTTCTTGGCAAGAACCTTCATAAGGGACATATGAAGGGGAAATGTCTGAGACAGAAGTTAAGTGGCAAATGAAATTATTGTGTTTAAGGCCAACATAATATTCATGTCCATGTTGGACAGATACAAAATGCATCACCAGAAAAGCATGTTTGGAGCAATCTACAAGTAAGTGTAAGGCTTTGGGAAAATACAGTCATCTTCTTTTCTAATGTTTGTTACTTTGTATGTTATAAGAATCTTATTTCTAAAAAGAAAGGAAACTCAGTCACACATCATGCAATTCATATAAACAATTATATATTAATAATCATGATCCTAGCTTCTATTTGTTGACTATTCACAAAAGATCAGGTTTTGCAGCTAGTAAGTTGTAGGGCTTAGATTCGAAATCAGGCTTAGCTTTTCTTTATTTTTTTAATGAAGAGGAGATTGAGAAAGCTTTCAGTATAATTAATCAACATCATGCAGACATTTCTTTCCCAGCAACTTTTATACTTTATTGCCCTGATGATGAGATCTTCTTCTTACTCCAACCTCTATACACAAAGTACGAGTTCCTTAAGGGCAGAAGCTATCTTCACTTCTCATTTCCCACTAACTACCACAGTGACTTGCACATAGTAGGTATTTGACACATGCTCTTTCAATGAAGCAATGACATTTTGTCAACATAAATTCAATAAAGCCATTTGAAGGCACTTTTACCCACATTTTATCCATTCAGTTGCAGTGACAGGCCACATGCCAAAAAGGAACAAAGCAGTAAACAAGAACATGGAAGTTCTTATTTAACAAGAACTGGGGCTGCCTGGCAAAGGGCTTCATTGTAGACTCAAACACTTATATATTTAAAACACTTATATATTCAAAACAGTTAATCAACACAGGGTTGCCCCATTACATTTCATCTAAAAATTGTTAAAGAAAATATGCAGTTAATTTAGAGCACTGTTCTTCTTTTTAAAAGTCAGGACTCTTACTGAGAGTTGAAATCATTGGCCTCCTCCTATCTACCCTATCATACTAGCAAAACACGGCTCACTTTTTTTTTATTAGCTGAGCCATCCTGCCACCTGTTGGTAGCTCAGTGGCAGCTCAGCTTGGGCCGGGACTCGAACCACTGTTGCTCAGAGCTCGCACTCTTGAGCGAGCTCTTAACCAACTGAGCCACTCAGCCAGCCCCATGGCTTACTTCTTATAAATGGCTTTTACAAATACTTTATTTAATGCCCCACATATAGTACCACAAATCCTCTTTATAGTCATAGTGACATGATTTCCCTAATTCTGCATACCTAGCATTTGCAAATGTTACAGAATTAAAAAAAAATTTGTGCCACAATTCTTACTTAAACTACACAAGACTTTCCTTAGATTATTATTGTGCCTGTCATCAATTTAAATTTTAATCTTCTATACTGGCCATGAACTCCAAAGATAATAGAATTTATCCTTAAGCAAGGAATTCTTGAACATCAGGAGATAATAATGATTTCATCAATTGACAGCATTTAAAAAGGTTTTTTTTTGTTTTTTAAAGGGTCTTAATGTGAATGATGATATGGAGTGTCATAAAATGTATATCTTGCTTATCTGAAGAGATAAGAAATGAATTTATCTGAAAAATATATCTGTTTGAGAAACAGACTGGAATCAAACATTTAAAAAAATAGACTTAAAAGAAGGAAGAAAGGAAGGAAGGAAGGAAGGAAGGAAGAAAGAAAGGAAGGAAGGAAGGGCGGGCTAGCCACTGTACAACAGTTTATTAAAGACCACCAAAGAAATCCAGACAGCTCTTCTTCACCTCTGAGATTCTCATCACAGCCCTCAGGGATGTTTTCAGAAGCAGAAGTCTGTGCTTGATGTACAACACTGCTAACCTAGAATGTGGCTTCTTAGGCTCTTAAGGAGAGGAACTAAGGTGAATTTTGTAAGCAGAACTCTGACATCCAAAACCCAGCACAGCAGAATTTATACATGCAAATGAGCCTTGGCTCCTTCATGGATACTGTCACCTTGTGATGTTATGAACATAAAAA